AAGAAGGACAATGGTTGGTAAGATACCAAAGAAACACGAAACGGACTACGAAATTTTCTTATCGCCCCCGAAATGAGGTCTGTAACGTAACTTTTTGTTTAAAACATAGACACCAATGGGGTAGCGTGCTGTATTCTGGGATAGTTTTGAGGGTATTTCGAGAGTTTGTCCTGGATTCGATGCGTTTTAAGACTTGCGCGCAAAATGGGCATTTAATGGTACACTGTAAAATAATATGCATTTTTCACTTCCAAAAATAAATGCCTGTCGAAATATAGCCCCTCCTTCTGGAGGTTAGTATTCCTTTAAAACGTGCACATGAGTTCATCTACTTTCATTCCTAACACTTTATTCCCTGCCATTTATCTTGAATTGTAATGTTTTATATTCGTATAAGTCTCAAGATGAACTTACAACATTTATTATTTTGGACATCCAGGTCTAGCTCTTGAACATGAAAAGAGTTACTACGTCTCAGTAAAAGCCACCAACAGTCTTGGGAAGGAAACCTACGGTTACTCCGATGCCATTGTTATTGATGACACCCCGCCATTGGCGGGACTTGTTGTTGAAGTGTCGGATAGGAACTCCTTCAATTTCAGCAAAAATGGTCTGGGACTTCCCTCCATGTCACGGTGCAACACTGCTGATGGTAAGTAGAATTAAACACTAACGGTGTGGAATAACCTCAGATCACTCGATGATCTCAATTGAAGTTAAAATCGATTGATAACCAGTTTCTTATTCACTCCCGTAGACCCCATTGTCAGTAAGAGTTCGTGTAATGCTGCAGTTCTCAACCAGCTTTTCCAGGGGTGCCAGAGTATACGGAATACATCAATTATACGGAATACAGCAATCGTATTGGTATACAGTGCAATTTTACGAAATACACTGTAATTTTACTAGTGACGTTGAATGGCGTAACCTGGACCCGGGACGCCACTGACGGAGCGTACTCATATTATGATATTTCTGTGTTTTTTGGTGGAATTTGGACCGTTCTCGTAGATAGACCTTTAGTCAAATCACTACATACTACTTGAAGGGCATGTTACTGCACAGGTATCATTTCAAACTCGCTCGATAAAAGGACAAATATGTGAGTCAAACTTAAGACTAAGGCACTGGGTCCAATCCATGATTCAACGTCACAAGTAAAATTGCACTGTATTCCGTAAAATTGCACTGTATTCTAAAACGATTGCACTGTATTCAATAAAGTTGCACTGTATACTAATACGATTGCACTTTATTCCGTAAAATTGCACTGTATACACTGGCACCCCTGCTCCTATGTTTATATGGTGTTTTAGACAGGAAAAATTACCTACCTACCTCATCCCATGACCTCCTGGCTGTAAGGGGTATGACAGAATTGATTTGAATATGGCAGGATGCTACATTTCGGATGATATCTTATATACAGAGTGTGAACGTCTGGATGCCGTGTGTCAGCGTTCCCTTACCAGTGTGTCTGCAGCCTGGGAACCCTTCACAGACGCAGAAACACTCATAGTCAGGTACAAGTAGGCTTCCTTGTCAGGCATGCAAGCTTAGTTTGAAACATATACGGAACATAGTATTGAAAATTATGTTTAGTAGCACTTTAACTATTTCCAAACACAGGACTTTTTTAAAAATTCTATAACCCAACAAACCAACAAGCTGTCCAATTTTTGTCCAAAACTATTTTCCTTTTTTTACCAGTACTTAAGCTGGGAATAAGAGGGATATTTCAATTTGACCACTAAATATGATGTCTATTTACTAGTTGCTTACAAACTTCTTATGTTGCAGTTTGATTTTAAAGCGAGAAAAGTTTCGAATAGGCTTTTGCAGAGCTGCAATGCATAACTATATCCGTATGTCCCTATTTCGCCATAATTTACCAATCATACAATGGTGTCACCAGACCTTTCACTAATCTTGTTTATATTACCCGCAATGATCCAGACATCGTAAGCTCACATGCCCCCAATTTGCAATAACTAATTTTGTAGCCAATTCCTCTTCATTTGCCTATACAGATATGAGATTGCCATAGGAACCACTCAAGGAGGAGGTCAACTGCGGTCATTTACAGAAGTGAACGTCGAGAATGGCTGCTCTGCCACTGTCACAGGCCTGAATCTGGCAGACCTAAGACAAGTCAGTTTTAAAACCACTTCACACATGTTGCATGGCCATAATTTCAAAATTATTTCAAACAGACTTCAGTATTTGTAAAGAAGTCATATAATGGGGTTATTTGTATGAAAATGATTTTTATGGGTGTGGTGTGGTGAAACCATATTGCTTTTTCTGATGTTTCTTCTCCTTCTTCTCCTTCTCTTGCCATTTTTTAAATGGATTCAGCTTCTTCATTTTAGGGCCTAAGGTCCTGAAATTTGGTATGGAGGTACAGTGGGCAAATACCCCTAGGCTTTTTTTAAATTATTGTGATACAGGCTTTTAGAATGGTTTTATTTGAGTTTTTTGGCTGTGTTATAGCAAATGTATTACTGTGTTAGTTTGCCTTGTTTACCACGTTTGGGCATGAGTCATCACAATGGAATGCAGGGCATCAACCAATAGGCATGCAGCTTTCCTCTATACTTCTTGCTGATTGGCTGTTGGGATTTAACTTGATTAACACCTGCACAGAAGCATTTCCATACTGACAGTATGTCTGTATTCAAGTGTTTTGGTAGGTATTTCAAGCTTTCCTGCTCCAGCATTGGAATGCCGGGCATGGACGTTTTTTTTTTTTATTTTGAAAATCAACAGTTTGCATTATGCAATTAAAAATCCTAACCAATAAAGTAGGGAATAGCTATCCAACTGTTGTTTTAGTTGTATTTTACTTCATATTATAGTTATATCAATGTAAATCATTGTTTTCCCTTGTGTTTCTCATTCTTTCCCTGCCATGTGGTAAAATGTGGTGAACCCATCGCTGTATTTGCTCCAAAGCAAATATTGGCCTTTCTAGTTTTATCATTAAGTTAGTATAATCAATCATATACAAAAGTAAGAAAACAGTTACCTCCAAATTCCCAACCTAACTGTACGTCTTAAATTTAGCTTTTAGATGAGTTAAGATAAAGCACAATCTTAACTGTGTTTTAGGTCTATGTGTCAGTGAAGGCCACCAATGCTGCGGGCCTGGCTACTGTGGCCGTGTCTAACGGTGTGTACATCAGCAGGGTCAGCGCTGGTTTACCTGTACTAGCTGCACCTCAGGTCAGAGATGGAAACCTGGAACAGGACCTGTGAGTAACACATTCCAACAGTTTCAACCCTTTGATCTTAACATCATTGAAAACTGCAATGCAGTTTGCATTATTAAATCATATCACGCCAGAATATTATTAATTATTACATAGTGAATAAAAAGAAATATCACTATGCCGCTATTACACCTTGTTTCGTGTTACGTTCATGTAAATTCCTGTCAGCCACAGCCTAGAGCACATCGGTTTAATGATTACTTGGGACATATCTAGGTCCTTTCTTCGATAATTTGTACCTTTTGGTACATGGTTCGTAATCACAGGGACTACCAGACATCGCTGGATGAGCTCCAGGCTAGTTGGGACTTCAGTGGAGACCCCTGTCCTATTGTCAAGTATGAGTGGTCCATTGGAAGAGTGGATGAAGCTGTCATCCAGCCTTATACAGATGTACAAGGTGTGTTTCGTATTTTGTTGATTATCTCACCTACTATGTTCTGTATCTGCATTCAGTCTTTTTTGCCATCTTCTTCCACTGTCTTGTATTCCGCAGGTTACCTTAGCTCTCGGAGATTTCAGAGGTTATGTTTGGGCCTTAAAGACCAATGGTGGCGCTCATGTGTTTTTCCTTGGGGCTGCCCAGTTTTTGCAGTTCTATGGCATGATTGAGGGTATCTATTGTACCGCTGTAGCTTCTTTCTCTTTTCCATTCATTCACAAACATGTTTGAACCCCTTAATTTCTTGTCGTAACAGTGAGGAATCCTTTTAACAAATCCCTTTTCTCATCTAGAAAACTAGATGTCTTCCTCTTGTAGGAAATATCTACATGCATTTCATCATCTGAAAATTCCTCATGTATTTCCCTTTCTAGGAAATCCAGATATATCTTTACTGATTTTAGCATGTAATTCCTCTGCAGAAAAGACACACAGCTCTACAGATGGACTACAGATGAAGAGTGGTGAGACATATTACATCACCATCAGAGCCACCAATGCCCTGGGGAAGGTGCAGATTCAGCGGTCTGACGGTCGGTCCAAGACATGTGGACATACTTACACATTCTGATTAGCTGTCACATAATATTACTACAGAAAAATGTGACATGCTTAATGCATGGTGGGTAGAGCTAGTTAAATGAACAAATACGTAAACAAAGACCTTCTTTCCAATTGCATTATTAATCAAAATACCTTTTATTATTTCGTAGTGGCAAAAAATGGAAATTACATTTTTCATCAATTAAGGTGTCCGTCACGGTACATTTCATGTGATAGATTCAGACGTTAATTTCAAATTTACCCTGTGAAAAATTAAGGGATCAGGGTTTTTTTTCTTAGTATAGAGTAAAAATAAAAGACGAGTTACGAAAATTTCAAATGTTTCACAGAGTTATGATGTATAATTATATGTAGTTACACAATATGACCTAATTCTTTCTTTTTTAATCTCCCATACATGCAGGGATCACTATAGAGGCTGATGCTCTTGTGCCTGGAGTTGTATTTGGTGGAACCATCACAGATTTTCACATACCTTACCAAGCGTCCATCTCTGAGATATCTGCCAATTGGAATTACTTTGGGGCAGAAAGGAACAACCTTGTCACAGGGGCAACAGGTATTTTTTTAAAAAAATTGGTAGAGAAACTTCAAGAAAGATGCGCTTTGATGGCAAGCAAATTTTGTTAATATATTGCATCGGCTCTGTAAAAGAAAAGATGTATATGCCAAACTTAATAAATGTGAAAATATTAAAATTTTGATAAAGAATTATAAAGCTTTAAAGTTATGGCACAAAATTAGAAGATACCCCCCATAACACATTTCATGTTTACACAACACTAGGAATTGCTACTCAAGCAACTGGACAGACTTTAGAAACTGCCAGACGTTTTTCGCATATACAGTAAACAGCCTTTTTTGCGTAACCCATCTCTCCAGCTTTGTACATGTAAAAACAAGCTGCGTAAGACTAAACTTTAAGGTCTGATCCACTCATTAACATGCGTGGGGTGTGGCTCTCCAAAACACGGGGCTTCTATTTAACCCCCTGTCCGAGGGACGTCCATAACCGACGCTATGTACTCATTCATACCTGAGTGAAGTGATGAACGTCGTGCAAAGTGCATTTCCCAATGGTACAGGATCGGTGGCATCTGGTAGGATTATAACATGTACCACACGACTCCACTTTACTTGACGTTAATTTTTTGTTAGGGGCTGTTTTTGATCTTCACATCTTGTGCTTAATTTGAAATACATTATCCTACCCATGGAAATGCTTCTTGTTAACATTAGTGGCAGACAATGATGCCTAGGTCTTCTTCGCCAATACATTAGACATTGTACCTTCAAGTTATCAGAACAGTTCACATTTATATGTATATGTATATGAATATTTTCTAGGCAACGAAGAGGTACGAACTGATGAAAACCAGCACCAGGCAGTTGCCTACTATGAGGTTGCTGTTGGAACTGACCGGACATACCCCAAAACCAGAGACAACACAGTGGAGTTCACCAATGTTGGGCTAAACAAAACCTGGACCTTTTACCACCTAGACCTGAAGCCATCAGGACTATACTACGTAACTGTGCGAGCGTACAGTACCAGTAATGCCATGGTAGAGGTGACGTCCAATGGCATTCAAGTAGGGTTTGATGTTGCAGTCACAGGTAAGAACGTTAACAAAAGAACACAATCCACGCAATGTATTTTAGCAGTCTCGCTGAAGGTCCAAAAGAAGTTTAACCTATGGGTCATATCAAGATGTTAGCAAGACTAGCAGAGATAAAGAATGGTCTATCAAACATTGCAGCCAGTATAACAACAGTGCTGTTCATTAAGAAGCAACACATTGCAGTATGTTGATTGAATTAACTTTTGCTATACTGCATGCAAGCTGCTGCACAGTTGTAGGTGATGAATGGTAAAGAGATGGTAGCTTGTTATTTGAAATAATCAATTTGCTCCATACAAACATTGGGTAAATGATCTTGTGATTTTACTTGTTTAACCCTCAAACACCCGACCGGGGCCCATTTGGACCCCAGACATATATTCTTATGTGCTATTTTAAACATTCATCCCGTGACATTGTCGATAAACCTCTTCTACAAGTTCTCAATTTTTTTGGAGATCGGCACAGATTTGTAAAAATAACAACCGATGTCTTATGTTAGACCGTCTGGGATCCAAACGGACCCAAGCCATGTATTTGTACTTTCCTACTCACAAAATTGTTCGGATGTCCTCAATATGTCTTTTATATTTTATTGCTTTAATATCATGCAGTTTACCAAGTAACCTCGACCGAATTAGGTTATCAGGTTTTCAGAGATTTTACAATTTGACAATCATATAGGTCAAAGGTCAACCCATGTTCATGCCTGCAGGCCTTATCCTATTTTTGCATAAATTATGATGATGAGCTGGAATTTTTTAACACTAAATCATGCCATACCTCTTACTATGTTTAACCAATATATGTGCAAAGATCACTGAAAGAATACAAAAAGGAATATAAATTTGAAAGAATCCAAATGGGGTCCATTTGGACCCCGTTCGGGCATTAACGTCACAAGAAAGTTCGGGTGTTTGAGGGTTAAATTCATTTTTTTTTAAATTTAGCTGGAGAGGTTGTCATTCCTGAGTATGCCAAGTCCGCTACAACGCTTACAGTAGAGTGGGCAGGATTTGAGTCTACATTGGACATGTACATCTACTATATGGGCGTCAGTTCCACACCACTTTCCGTGGGAACTCAATGTTCAGATCTGGTAAGTAGAAATAGGCGCATTTAGCAAACCGAGATTTGTTGTTTACCCGTATATTGGCCAGCAATACCCACAGAATTACAAACTTGAGAGACTTATGTTCAGAACACAGCTTAGATTCGATAAACATGCATTATGTACGTAAATATAAATAAATGTGACATACATGTACACCCCATTTTAGATCCTTTCACCTTTGCTTCAAATCAATTTAACAGTATACATGTATACATGAAAGGACACGCTATCTAACACAATTTTTAAATTTTGTACGAATTTAACATGGGAATTCGGAATGGCACGATGGTAACAGGGATGTTTTTTTACACGCTTTTTACAGTTCAGTAAGTAAGCATATTATAAAAGCACTGTTGCAACAGGGCCGTTTTGTTGTGTCTTTCTTGATACTTTTAGACCTACTAATAGTTTTAAATCGCTCTAGAAGTAAAAAAAAAAACAAGAAAGAACAGCTACTGTATAAGTTAGCAACAAGATAGTTATGAAAAGCCTTTCTAAATAAGGGTCACCCCCTCCCTAAAAATGTGCAGTCGGTCAAAGCAGTACGACCGGGTGACCAATTGGACTGAAAAGAAGATTTATATATCTTTTGTAATGTTAAAATGAAGAAAAGGTCTGGAGTTAATTGTTGATTTAAGAATAATTACACCTCTTCAGATCACTGATGAGAGTGCTGTACGTGCACTGTTTGGTGTATTTCCTGTCCGCCTAATGGAGAAAGACACCTTCTACATAGCACATGACCTCTCCATGGAGCACAACAACACATATTATGTCACTGTGGTGGGAGTCGATGAAGCAGGTCAGTTGTTAGTTACCTTTTAACTCTATAAGTTAGGGTTTTTTGTTTTTTTTTAGATTTTGACCAACTTCTCAATATTTTTTTGTGTCTTAAAGGGGAAATAGTTCGGTAGATACACTTTTTGTAAATATAAAAAGTAAAGGAATTTATTGGGAACTTAGCATTGAGTTTGGACTAAACATTGTATGGTTATAAAGTAAAAACAGAATCTGACGCCTTCATTCTCTCCATGAACAGGTGAATGTAATATGAGCACCTCCTCCTTCCTTGTGGACCTGACTGAACCTGTAGAAGGACAGGTCAGGGTAGGACCGCTGTATGGACAGGTAGGACAGCGCAATCGGTAGCTACTATACTCGTCTGTTTTGTGTATTCACAATAACATAAGACTGCCAACTTTTAAGTTTGTCAAATTGGATATAGCATAATATAATATCATTATAGAGTCAATACATACTGGAGCGTATCTAACCTTTCAAATTTGGCGACTGTTGCAGTTGATTAATACCTAAACAAGTATTTAAATAGATGTAAATATAGTTGAATAAACAAATGGACGATTCAAGTGGACCCGACAATATCAACCTAACTACATGTAGAAACAAATAAAGGTTTTTTTTGTTAACTTAATTAATGTTTCCAATTAAAACTTAAACAGTGTAGCTGTTTGTTATTCTATTCGTTTTGAATTCTAGCTTCAAATTTGAAAAAAAAAAACATAGATAATGGGTATGAGCAAACTCTAAGTTTAAAGCTCTTTGTTTGGTTATTTGTGACGGTATTTTGTGCTTACCATTTATTAACGATAATATAAATATTGCAATGATAATGATTGTTATTTCTTATGTTTGACAATGTTTTATAGAAACTGGCGTATGTTGTGACCAGGGAGAGCATCACAGTTCACTGGGAAGGGTACTATGACCCTGAGAGTGATATCTCTTATTTTGAACTGGTTCTCTACTCTGCCAAGTCCTGTTCAGTTTCAGATGAGGACTCCTTGTCTGAGATATCACATGTCACTGTGAACAGTAGTTTCACATTCTACACGTTCTTGGAGCTCACGTTGCAGGTTTGTATGAAATTCAATTTTTTATCTATTTTGATCGGTGCACATGTAGGTAGCCGGGAAAATTCTCTATTCAAGTTCTATTCAGAGCGTAGGAAATTCTTAAACTCCCGCCAGTTTATTATTCTAGACTTCGGCAGATGCAGTTTTACTCCTCTATAATCAAAATAATACAAGAAAACTACGAGAACTTGGCAACAATGCCCTTGGAAGAACTAAGAAATTAACACTAACAGTGTTAAATGCAGTTGGTGTACGACATTCATTAGATACAGACTGACTGCAAAAATCAAGTCGAAGGCAACATTGAATATTTGACAATCCTTTCATTTTAAAAAGAGGTAGAAATCATATATTTTGCCAAAGTGCTGCATTAAAATATTCATCTATACTTGGGATGCGTTTTGCTGCATATTTTAGAGATATTTTAGATATATTATTATATAATATATAAATCTATATATTCGGGAACTTTTGAACTTTTTTTATTATACAATATTGTTTTTTTTCTATCTTGACGCTGAATTCTTTTAGAAGAACAATTTATTTATAAACACCGACTTTCATGTTTTGTTAGGAAAATACTCCCTACTATGTTGAGCTGACAGCATTTAACAAAGCTGGCAGAGAAACAAGGACTCGGTCTGTACCTGTCATCTATGATGTACAAGAGACCACTGCCGGTGATGTCCACGTCGGCCTGGACTTCATCCGGGATGTCACTTTCGTCGGAAGCACAACAGAAGTCGAAGGTATATCATCACATTGGACATAAACATCTTGAAAAATAAATGTAAAATACACTTTGCAGATGACAAAGTTTTATATAAAGAAAACACAATTAAGACTTTATTTTTAAAGGCATGTAGGTATGGTTTTCGAAACTTAAATCTTAAAGTTAAGAAGTTATAATGCAATTGTTTAACTCCAGAATCATATTGATTACTAACTGAACAAACGGTTGTCGTATCTCTTGATTAAAAAGGGAGTATCCTGCACCTGGCAGACCCCGGTACTGACAAGGGATGTCCTGATAGACCTTCCCTCTTCACTGATGTAGAATGGTCTACAGTCAAAACAACAAACTTCTGGGGGCTTGGAGAAGATTGGAATATTTTGTTTCGGAGCAAACAGGTGGGGTTGCTACATGCACATCTTACTACCTCCATTGTTTGCTGGTGCTGGTTTGCAAATTTACAGAATGTTGTACCTGCATTGGGCAACCAATTGTAAGCATACAGCGGCAGCTAGGTAAATCAGGAATCCTTTTTTTTTCCTAGAACAATCACAGAGTGAAATTCGCTGTCACCAAGTACAGTAGGGACATTGTCATTCGCTAGCTTTAAACAATGTTTAGAGTTAGATGTTCAAGGGTTAGGTGTAGCAAGCCGATCTGTGTAATGTAGCCAGCTGCCGCCGCGTGGCGTGCTTGCGACAGATACAGATCTATACAGATACAAATCATTATTTGATGATTATCACTTCATGTCAAAATTCAATATTATCTATTAGAAATAGACTGCATTTGTTGAAAGCAGGTTTCATTCTATATATTGTTTCAACTATGAAACAAATTGTTTGATCACAAACATTTAGCAAAAAAGAAAAGTTCTGATGATTTTTGAGGGCACAAGGAATACGATCCATGCTGAAGTGGTCTTATTAACCCGATGCTTGGTTACATTTTTGCAGGTTGTTCCCACAGAGGACGGACGTGGTGTGGCGATCACCATAGAGCGAGATGTCCAGTCTCCACAGATGTTCTCTGGTGCCATCTACAGGAATGCTGACATACAGAAGGGAGGCACTTATAAGGTATTAGCAGAAAACATCCCCATCATGTTGCAGTGAACCCCGTTTTAGCTGGCTATAATGTGTGATTTTTGAAAATAAAATGATATAAAGACCTAAAAAATGATAATAAAGAATGTACTGAATGTGCATGGGTAGTGTCTTTTCTTATACAATGTAGAATTTTACATCTGTACAGTTTTATATCAGGGTTCTTATATCTAAATTCCACAGATATTCTTACATCTGAATTCTTGTAACTAAATGTTCCAGGTGGACATTAAGGCAGGTGCCTCAGACTTCTCCGCCATCACAGCTGTTGTATTCTGGGACGGTCCAGATGGGACTGTCGGGGACTTTGACGTCTGTCGCTTCTGCTGCCAAAACACAGAGGATCTGGTCTATTTGGTAAAAAAACGTTCTAAAATGTATTGTGGTTTATAATGTATAGAATTTATTTTGGTTTATAATCTAGGGAGTTTTAACAAAATGTTAGAGGAACTAATTCAGGAAAAAGTTGACCAAATCTGTATTGAGATTTAAAACATGATATACATAATAAATGTATATGACAACAAACTGTCGGATTACAAGCAACTTAAATAATATTGATAAGACGTTGCCCAGGCATTGTGCAACATGTGCAATCATATACAAAGAGAATAATATAGCAGTTTTCAAATTGGTAGTGTTGAGCGAGCTTTACCATTAAATAACTTACCAACTTAATTGAGACATCCATTTAATTTCAGTATCATTTTTTGCAGTACATGTGTCCATGTGATTGCTTGATGCACCTGGCCTTTCCTACCGATGTCCCAGAAAACATCACTCTAACAGTAGAGACATACACTGAACAGGTCACCTCAGAAACACAACAGGATGTGCCGAAGTACGTAGTGTTTGAAGACAAGGTAGAAGGAGAGACTTTCCAAGGAAATGAAGACGACATGTTTACTACCCAGCCGGCCTGCGGCATGCAGATCCACACAAATGGAGGTAAATTCTGATAACATGTTCTAGGGATTTTTTTTACAGTTTTCACAAAGTACGACATACGAGGAAGCTGACTAAAATATTTCAATTTTTTCTACATCTCACATTTGATTTTGTAAGATTCAAGGGCCTCATGACATACATCATATGTATGTAAAAAGTACATGTACGGGTATGATGCTCAAAAATGTATTTGACCTTATTCATTTGCTCCAATAGAATATGAAATTTTGTAAACTTTGAAATTTTGTAAATCATTGCCGAATTTCATGCTTTTAAAAATTGAAAGGCTATAATATTTTTTTTTATATCACCAGTGTTGGATTCGAAAATTGTGCTTTGGTGCCAGTACTATGACAACGAGTACCTCGCCAAGTATGAAACCGTGGACAGTCTTAACTTTGACCCCTCAGAAGAGTGGCATACCTACAAGTTTGTCTTCAAGTCATCTTCAAGAGAGGGTCTGGTAAGGCCTTTCCTCTGTACATTGTTATTATTTGTAGATACACGTAATATAAAGTACATTATATGGTGCCTGGTATTTGTCACAAAGATTATATGTGATATACGGGTAGGGAAACAGCGTAAACTTAATTTAAAAGTACAATGGAGTTTCAGTAATTCCCAATGTTGTCTTCCCAAAGTTGGTTAAAAGTAGTATACTCAACTTCAAATTGTTACCAGTGTTGTAAGATGGAATTTGCTGTGTATAAAATTACCAATGAAACTCCTGACCAATATCTTGATCCGTGACTTCACAGGATGACTGGAGTCTGGAACTTCTGATTGACAACCATGAGAAGGCTGTCGTTTCCGGCCTCCCAGCCTTTTCTGATGGCACAAAGTTGATCTTTGACCAGTGGAACGCAGACAACACTGTTCCAGAATTGGAGTTTCAGTTTAAACCACCTACAGCCACTGTACTGTTTCGGAATCTTGTGTAAGTTACAACGATATGAACTTAATTTAAAGAAGTGATACCTCATACTTTGTATTTTTAAGTATGTACTGATGTCTTAGAAGCCACACAGGGTGCAGGAAGACACGTCTATAAAGATTCATCAACTAATTAATTCATATATTTTATGGTAAAATGATTCTATAAGAAATAGTTCTATTTCATTTATTTTCACATTTATCTATCGAGTCGTTTTGTCGAAGAAACAGAATTTTACCAGGCGCTAAAAGTGACTGCTCGTGCCCAACGAACTGAATTAGTATGAAATCGTAACATTTGTTGTAACTTAAACCCATCAGCAATATTTACAGAGAGCAATATTACAAAAGCGTGCAAATTATACCTGGAAGCTGTCTAGCGTAGCACATTTACGTTTGCTTCTTGTGACGCGGAACGAGACGGGTCATTAAACAGTGTGAATGGATGTATTATCTACTGCTCCTCATAACCTGACCAGTCTCTGATAGCTAGCGATTGACCAGCTCGAGGTTGACGGCGTTCTACGCGCGCGATGTTACGGCACACCGCGCTGTATTTACAGAAAGCAAAAAAATCGACTCGAATACCACAGAAGTGTACTATTTCAAGTGAAACATATATAATCCTGTTCCCTGACCATTGGAAACTTAACTGTCATATTTGCCATTTGACCACAGGTTACCCCCACCAAGCGATGTCCCATGCCGATACGGTCGACCTTTCCATGGGAACAAGGCCTCCATTCTTCGATACTCTGCAGGCATCTTTACTGATGATGACAACACGGTGTTTCCATTTCAAACGGTAATGTTAAATGTTAGTTACATTTAATATTAAGGCATAAGCTGCATCACCACTTCTGTAACTTTTTTGCAGATGATACATGTGGCTTGCTGAGGAATCGTTGCAATGCCTAAATGTAGATAATTTTAACAAATTTTTAAACAAAGCCTGGTTCCATGTCCAAGATTGTTACATTATCCAGGAGACCGAATATACAAGCAGCTCAATATGTTTTTGAGGTGTAAGTTGTTTAATCAGGGTGTATGTGTTCTAGCAGCCGAGCCATTAGTGATATTTTAATTTCTTCAACATACGTTTCCTTACATAGGTTCATAATGTTCTGACCTTGGTACATGTCTACTGTAAATGACACTGTTTTTTTCTTTTATTTTTTGTTCTGTTTGTTTCAAAAGAAATGTGTTAATTCAGTGTTTGGTTAACATCCTTCTGAGACCTTCATTCCAACCTTTATTGAAAAACGTTCTGCCATATATTATCCGCTGTACATTTTCACCGGGTAACGTGTCATCTGCATATTATTAACGTAACGTCACAGAAGTGATGGATTAGGTAAAAAATATAGGGTAAGGCTAATTTTATGTGTTGCATATTTCAGTTTAAACTTGTTTCAAAATGACTATGCCAACACAGATCGACGTTCTATGTAAAATTGTATGAAGATACTTTGCAGTGTTGCCAAACCGTAGAGATTATTTTTTTCAGTAACAAATTGCTATTACTCCAGACAAAAAGTATTCAATCACGTATCATTTTGCATTGTATCAGTTAGTATTGAGTCAGCTTTTGTTTCACCGTGCCATAAAGTGAGAACCGAACTGAACAATTCCTTGTTGAAAACTTGGCATGCTTCCTCAGGTGGCTGAGCCCTGCACGCCCTGCCTTGATACATGCAGTCGTTTTGCCTGTGACCTTGACTGTGATGGATCAAAGGTCGTCCTGTACCCTTTCACCTTGTCTGACCTTCACCTTCCCGCCACCAGAAATGAAAGTGTGAATGGGACATTTGAGGTCAACCCTATTGCTTATTCTCTGAAAGGTAATTAAAATATAATGATGTTATAAATTTGCCAGAAAAAGGATTAAACTGTATTCAACCGGTATTGGTTTGACTTCCAATTATTGTTTTTACAATGTAGTGATTTGCACTATCACGGTACAAACAACTAAATTCGAAAGAGAAACAAAATGATGTAATTTATGAATTACCTTACCATTCAATGTAATTGATTAAATGTTTTAATTGTTTAGTGTATGAGTGAGGAACCGGTACAATGCTGAAAATGACTGACAGTTCTGTGACTGTGGAACTCAAATCTAGATCTCACCAAAATCAAACCTTTTCACATACCGTTATCCTTACAGTCCAGGCCCTTTCTAGCAATGGTCTGTCGGTGACGTCCACGTCTTCTGCGTTCTACATCGATGTAACTCCCCCTGTCATGGACATCATTTTCCACATTGATGTGAAGCAGGGTGAACTGGAGCCTGTGAATTTCCAACAGTCCAACTCCACCATCAAGGCTTTCTTCAACTTCATTGACAATGAGAGCGGAGTCAAAGTATGTCATAGACAGAGTCGAATTGAATGTTACATACAATTCAGTTTGTAACATTAGACACTGTTTTATGCTTCAGAATTAGTCATGAACCCATCAGTCAAAAGTCATTTTTCCTTTGGGGAATATCATATACACGGGCCTTTATAAACAGACATCTATTTTGGTGTTGTCCTCCGAATTTTCATTCTAAACATTAAAAAAAATAGTTGAAAATGGTATTTTTCTTTATGAGACTTTTTTTAGAATGTGTGATATATATTTTCTCATGTCGTTTACCAAAGGAATACTGGTGGGCAATCGGGACATCTTTAGGATCAACAGACATCCAGGCGTTTACTTACATTGGGCTGAACCAGGCTGCCTCAAACAGTGAGTTAGAAGGTACTCTGCAGAGTAACCTAACGTACTACGTCACAGTCAAGGCAATCAACAATGTGGGGCTGTTTAGCATTGGATCATCTGACGGTAAGCTTCAGTTAATTAATCTCATTTCATTAGCATATTGTGTATTACATATTTTTCAAAATATTTACTCCAATTAAACATTAGTCATTTTTCAGTGTTTAGTGAAAAAGAATAGTGCCATTTTACGGTAAACACAACTTGTCTTGTATTCTTACACCATAAAGTATTTCCATTTTAAAGCAAAATATTATAATCACATTTACACATAGGTTTTATATTGCCAAATTATTTTTTTTTTCAAAACCCACAAAAACCTCGACAATCATCATGCTAACGGTATGTATAATATATTGGTAATAAACATGAATAAACAGTTATTTTCATGTCCTTAAAATGAACGGAAATTCTCAGTTTTCGTGACGTAAAAAGAAAAGAAATATTCATTGTTTTTAACATTTTATCCATGCATATAAAAATTTACTAAATTTTGTTGGTCATAAAAAATGATGTTTGTATATTGTCCAACACAATCATTAGGAGTTCAGTGCCTGTTTGACCCACCAGACATGACTGATGTGAACACAACAGTACCAGGAGCTAAAGGTTTTGATGTGAAAACCAACCAACCTGATGCGAAACAGAGCAACAACCCTAAAGTCACTGGTGGAACTTTTTCCAAGCCCTCAGATCCCAGCATCACCAGAATTGGTAAGTCCTGCATGAGTAATTGCATGTAGTTTTTTCTCGTGAGGCTATTTCAAGTTTTTTCCCTGTAAGGTAGATTATAGAACCACAGGGAGGACAGGCAAAAACCACCCTGTGTAATTTTCTTTTTTTTCCTGGAAATAAAAATGTCGTGCAATTTTGCTAAGATGTTCAATTTACCCCTGGTCTGATTGCGCATTTTAATTACACATTTAGGCCACACCAATTTAATTTGTTGGTTCTCGGATTTTTTCAGGAAAAATATGAAGCGACAGGGCGAAAAAAAAATAAAAACAGGTCTAGGCATCCCATTATAGGCTTAAATGCTACGGAATGAGTCATGAAGTCAACACAAAAGGCTGGGTTAAAATTTAAACATTGAATTTTGAACTTTTAATCAAACCACTGCAATGATAGATGGGAAAACTGTAACAACTAGGAAGAAAAGGACTTTCCTCAACTGTTGGGGGCAAAATATGAGCATTTTTCAGTTGATTCAGGACCAGAATCAATTTTTTTTTTTTGCAAATCAGAAAAAAACAAAGAGCCTAATCCGAGAACCAACAAATTAAATTGGTGTGGCCTTAAAAAGATTTAGGAGAAGACTCTAGGGATATACGAAAATTATTTCATGTAAGTGATGTCTATAATTAAACGCATCCTACATAATAATGATACCGGACATATTTTGACATTTTGTTTTACAAATTTCCACAAATACTTGATTTTTCGTTGTTTATATACATGAAAGAACTGATAAACCAGTTGTCTGTATCCTATCCAGAATACTGCTTAAGTAGCAGAGAAGACCTATCTGACGACATCTTCCCCTGTACCATTGTTGGTTACAACTCCTCTGGGTCAGTGGAGGTGAATGACGGAGAAGGCCTGCTGGTGTCAGGTGAAGTGGTAGCCAACCTGACGGACATCAAACCTCCCAGTTCCTGCAGTGCCTCTACAAATGACTCCACGTCATCCTCACATAGTTCCAGGTCCATGACCAGTTTTGTTAAGTCCAAAACATCTGATCCCAGCTCTTCTTCAGCATGCAGGTTAGTAACGGGTAACGTCATATGTAGGACTAAAATATTTGGAATTTCTTCATTTTAATAAAAAAAACGGAGGTATCGTTTTATGTGTAACGTTACATGTCCGTATATCTATTTGTGTTTCTGGATATTCTATAACAGCAGCATCTTGAAATGGTTTTCAGCACTAGGACCAGTGCAAGATCGAGTAGTGTCAGCAGGTTCAACATGCCTCCTGGATCGTAAGTATTTTCAAGTCCTCTTACACGTTACGTTTAATAATGTTACATTATAGACTAAAAGTACTTTAATTTTGGCAATTTGTTAACTATGCTCAAAGAAGCTGAAAGAAAACATGGAACAGGTCTGTGGAACCATAACTGTTTTGCAATGACTTATTACATTTTTCTCAGTGTCACGTGTACTAATGCCTTGCAGGTGTATGCACCCAACTGTTAAGATGTGCAATGAAGCCGGTAGCTGTGCAGCAAAAAAGTTAAATACTGTGACTATAATCAGTAAGTCTATGCCATACAGATACTGTTTTTATGCTAATTGTAACAAAAATGTTTGCCTGAAATGTTGGCTACCATTATACACAAATTGTCACAAAACATCTAACATCTTGGAAGCTTATACTTTTATGTATCAATCATTTGCCTGTATGCTACAGAATTATTTAACAAACGCTGGATATAACAGACAAAAACAAGAAGTAAGGTTTAACCGTGTTGTTCTGAACTCATTTATGTACCATGATCTTTAATCCGATCATGCTTATAAGCATTCACTAAATTATGATAATACAGAATGCTTAAAAATTCCGGGCTCTATGTAATAAAAATTGACCTTAAGAATATTATTCATAATAAAGTTCAAATTTATGCTTTCAGCTGATGAAGATAAAGCGCAGACCTCTGAGGCAGGTCAAAAATTGTCCTTTGGCAAAACATCTCTCAACTCAACTCTGCCAGGACGAAGAAAGAAAAGATCAGAAGAGGATAGCATTGATGTAAATGTGGAGTCAAGCACAGGTAATATAATTATTTAGTAATATGAAAGTATTTTTGTAGAAATTTAGGGTCAGATAAAACTCAGAAACATGTCCAGATTTGCTATGCACAGGTTTGTCCTATACGTGCTATATAATACACTCTGGCCCGATTTTATCTAGTTGGCTTCATCACCCATATTGTAATCATTAATAAGTCAGAACATCTAGAGGCTACACGTCATTAACCCCACTTCGTGGACATTTCGTATAGCTTTTCTATGCGCATGATGTCGTAGGTAGAAAATACAATCAATTTAACTTGGTTAGTGCAACTTCAAATCAAGAACTTAAAGTTAAGTGACTTATTTTTCAATGCAGTGCTACCCCCTGGTACCACCATTACCTTTGGGCTGCTGGATGAAGAGCGGGAGTCAGCAGGATATGCCTCAGACTCGTCAGTCGGGTTCGCCCCCTACATCACTGACCCTGTCCTCACCACACAGACAGACATGACGGCTAGGATACTTAGACAACGGTGAGTTTAAGATACGATAGGATTGTACACTTACTGGTACATGGTGTGTACTGCAATAGGGGTATTTATGTACATGCACAAACTATTCTCTTTAAAAGAGTGCACTTTTGTCTGGATGACTTTGATTTATTCCAGGCTGTAGTAGGCCACTAATATTTTGCTAAAATATGTGTTGCTTACTTACATCGGGAGAGCTATTATAATAGGCTATGTAATCTACATATGGTGTTCTTGTTGTCAGGGTGGTTGACTCAAAGTGTAAAGTTTCTCAGTTAGAATCCCAGGAAGCCCCAAGTGTTGTGTCCTTGGGAAGGACACTGTGGACCTATGGTTAAATTCGTACGTACTTATATCTTTTGAAATAACATACATACCCTCGTACACATTTAATAAGACATTACACTTGTAAAAAGAGAAGCAACCAGAAAAACATGAAAAAATGACATTTATGTTAGTCACAAATGTGAAACTTAATAACTAAATAAATGAAATGTCTTTTATATAGGATTAAATCCGTAATGAGACCAAGTTTCTACCTGGCGCCTCTGGCACAGCAGGAGCTGAACTGTTCCCTGGTTGTGACTGTTACATTTGATCCCGCTGCAAACTGGACAGATGATATGCCACTCCTCATCTTCTGGAACAAAGGTGCACGGCTGCTTTGAGTTGTCAGACATTTGTGATTATGTCTGTCATAATATATACCGATGCCTGGTTGTTGTTGTTGTTGTTGTTGTTGTTTTTATGATTTTATGATACTGATGAGTATAAATCGTTGTCGGTCCGGTGTTTATTTAGAAGAATAAAACGTGCATGGAATACTTGAAGTTTTGCAATACAAGTTACTGTTACATGTTCATGCTGTAGAAAATGGCAAATAAGTACATCCAGATCAGTGTCGCTCTATGGTCTTTCTCTTCCTTTTAGATACCCAAGAATGGGATGATGCTTCTCGCACTTGTGAAGAGGAGGGTTGGGTGAACACCAACTACACTACAGGGACTATGGTCACTTATGTAAGTATAATGGATACATGTCACTGTAGTAAAAACGTTAAAGGTAGTCCCATAGCCTAATGTATTGGGCATAACTGTGGTGTTGATTTCCACCTAGAGCTAGAAGGAACTGATGAAAAGATGAGATTATTTCTTTGTCGGACAGTACAATTTCTGTGTTCCTACTTAGGTCTGCACAACGGGTTTGCCAACTGACCGTAGCAGGAGATCCAAGAGAGACACAGACATGCTGACGGGCATGGAGTACCTGAATAGAGAGACACAGTTTGCTGTGGCTGTGGTTTCAAAGACCATCCCTAACGAACCTCCACAGTTCCTGTCAGATTTGAGTGTAACCATGGAGGAAGATTCAGGTCTGTTCTAAGGGGCTCTTTACAGCGATTTAACTAAAAGACAAGGGGCTGACTAACCATTACATGCATACATTTATGTATTTTTGGCAACGCTGTATGATATTATTCACAGGCTTTGGTTAACTATAAGTTAGTTATATGCGGTGTTAGGTTTTTTTCCACATACTGTTAAGATACCTGCTGTCTATTGAGACTTCATGCCATCAAAATGTCTAACGAAAAAGGTAAAGACGCAGGAAGTTAGGGGCCTGAAACTGGTTGAAAGCATGCAGGAAGTGGGGTATTGAGGCTGTTGGTGGGATGCCAGAGGGAAAATGCATCCCCTAAAAATAACAATTACTGTAATAAAACTAGAAACTGAATCTCTTACTAAATTACAATATATCTGTCAAGTCAATCACAGCTTTTTTTACTTACTTTCACAGAAATCCTGTATTTGAAATCTTAAAGATCTTGCTGAAATGCTAAGCAATATAAGATATAATATTGATTTACATTATAAGTTGTCTTAAGTAATGTAGATAAACGCAGCGTTTAAAATCCAGTCGTCTAAACTACAATGATATTGCATATTTCACATCCTCTCCTAGCTATTTGATGTTGTGTCCTTTCAATCATGCAGGTACCCTGATGTACTGGTTAGAGGCAGAAGACATAGATAATGACGACTTTGTCTTTGGCATCGTGCCGGACTCTTTACCCAAACTGGGCACAATGAGTTTATCTTCGCAGGGACTTCTACAATACAGGCCTTTACTGGATCATTCTGGTAAGGATTGCATATACATTCTGACTACAATCATTATATGGTGACTTCGAAAGATGACATTTTATGGATATTTTTTCAATAGACATTGCTGAGGGTAAAATATAACATAACATAACATAACATAACATAACATAACAGGGCTAGCAAGGTTACATGTCAGGGCTAGCAATGATAACGTTAAATTGTGAAATTGAGCTCTTAAAATAGCGCATAGGCCGAAGAGCGTATGCTGTACGATTAATTAATGGTCGAAAAAATAACCCTGACTGACCATATATCATTTTCAACCAAGCGATCTTTTTTATTCGCGAAAATGCTCTTTATAGGATGGTCCAGCATATTCGTTGTGGTTTTATTGCATACATGTGAATCGTATTCTTTCAGGTATAGACAAGGTCATGATTTATGTGAAAGAGAATCGTGAAAATGGTGACATCATTCCTATCATGGAGACAAGAGCTACATTTAACGTCACCATCAAGCCTAAAAATGACAACCCCTACATCTATGTGCAGGTGGATGGACAGATGTTGGTTGTATTGGAGAACAACACAGTGAAGGTATCATATTTGAAACTAATCACAACTTACATGACTACAACCTATTGTACTTTTAACGTTTGTGGACAACTCTGTAGTAGTTGCTGAAAATCCATAATTAGCCAGTGAGTCTGTATTCTTTATCTTTGTTAGATGCCATGAAATTCTAACTTATTATTTAACACTAACAATGAGAGCATTTCATTTATCTGATTTCAATGCGTTACATTCAGATATTCAAGAGCAAGCACAACACCTAAATTTTGTTATGTTTCAACCCAACATCTGATTACCTCAACAGATCTAGTCCCGAAGTTCCATCTTAATCATTTGATCAGGATCTTTTAATGTTGAGAATTATAACCACATTCACCTTCATGTTTTTGGTAGCTTTCAAATGTGTGTGTAAACACAATAGAAGACTTGATAATTGGAAAAATTCTCTAAATCTGCTACATTTAAAGATGTGACCTTTTTATATTTGTCATATACGTAGTTGACATGTAACATGTATTTTTCAATTACGTAAATGACTAAAGACCTTATTTGCATACACCATGAGAAAATGTTCTAATTTATAGTGGTAACTGCAAAAAAAATTATAACGACGGTATTCGGAATTCATTGCGTAGCATATTTATATTACATTTATTATACAGTGCTGTATTTAAACTTTTAGTTATAGGTTCATGAAGTGCGTAGCTGTAATACATTGCCTAAGAACCATTATTTCTCTTGGGCATTGGCTTTATACACCGATCTCGATTATTGTTGTGTGCTGCAGTTACTACCTGTAACAATTGTTTTATTTTTGCAGATCACTGTTGAACAGAACATAGACACCAACATTTGGTACCAAGATTTTGACACCACCGTGGCTGTGTGGGACCCTGACAGTAACGATAACCTGACCATTGACCAGTACAACCCAACATATGGGAACATCCGGCTTAGTCTGATACATCCTAATGACACAGGTGACCCTTTATACTGGTTTTCCCGCTTTCGAATAAAAAAAAGATTATAATCTTGATCTTTTTTATGATTACACTATTTCATATATATTTTACAGTTATATTAGTCATAATAAAATGTCTTCAATGTTGGTTGATGACATACAGTGATGGGAAAACAAACGTTAAGGAAATGACTAGATTATAAATATAAAATCCACATTGTACGGAAACTTAAATCAGGGCAGGTAACATCTTCCATATAAATGGTTTAGATAATTAAACATCAAAACCTAGTTCTAGATTATGTTACATCATGAATATGCCCCCCCCTCGTTCGTTTATATTTCTACATCTCACTTCTTTAGTGGAACTGATTTTAGGGCATTTATCTGTTTACAAAGCTAAGGTGCAGTCCAAGCATCCAGCAATATGTTTAACAAACCACGTAAAATACCACAATTAAATCAATGTCTGAATTGGTTTTGGAAAAATATGATTTAGCTGTTAACATCATATATCTACACCAGAACTTCCTTCGGAGGGAACATACATAAAGGCATCAGTGAAGTTTGTGCCGATTGAGGACTACTATGGTCATGATGAGTTCATACTGATGGGCAGGGATGAAGATGGGCTGTTCTCTGAACGCCTCATCTTCAAGGTCTACATTCTACACATGCCCTGTATCAACAACGGAACATGCACTGGTGCGTATATTGCTCTTTCTGTGTACATTTTATGTTTGTATACTGAAATCTAGTAGTAAGCAAATACAAAAATTATGCAAACTTTTACTCAACCGTAGCTGTACGCCATAGGGGCAGTCTGTCCACAAAATTTTGTAGTACAATGGCAGCTGGTGACACTTTCACTCGCTACACCCTTGACTGACGGGACTAGTATTGCTGGAAGACTACCCCTCTGGCGGTCACCAGCCATTCTGGCCAGTTTGGCCGCCGTCTCTCACGACCATTTTCTGATATTGTCAATATGTTATTTAAAAGCTATTTATCTGTATGAAATGAGAAAACAAGGAAACAAGAACAGGAAACAAGAGAAGCAGGAATCAAGAAAACAATGAACAAATTGGGACGTATAGCTCTTTAAATTTTGACATGTAAATATTAGGCAAAATGGTCCTCCAACTTGTTTGACCTAATGCTATGGAAAAAAAAAGAATGTTGGCCATAAAGAAAATTATTTTGATGGTTGAAATTTCTGTCACTATGCAAAACATTTGCCAAGTTCATTTTAGACTGGTGCTGCTTTTGTACTCTACTTACAGACATTTGTTCTCAAAACATCGCCATAAACAGGTGATTTACAGGTATTCGAGAAGTGTATTTGAAATTAAACTTGCATTTGTTATTTGCATGTTTTCTTTAATTTGCCAGAAAATTTCTGTCGAACACATAACTATTGAGATGGCTGCAACATAAACATAAAAATCAAAGTTCCTATTCCTCCGATATATTTTTTTCATTATTTTCTTGATAAACAAGCAAAAATCAAACTTTCCCTATTCCTGGTTTTCTCTACCTAAATTCGATAATTTTATTTGAAAAGAAAGTTTTATTTTGACTGAAATACATACATAAACACTCATGTTAACCATTTACTTTTTTCTAACTGTACCTCCATGGATTTTTCCTCGATAGGTATAAGTGGGGACCTGAACTGTACAGCCCCCAGCCGAGCAGACGGGTATGACGGGTATGACGGGTATGAGTGTGCCTGTCCTCCGGGATGGGCGGGGCGGTACTGTGAGACAGATCGAGATGAGTGTTTGTCCAGTCCTTGTCCCTGGCCACAGGACTGTGTCAACTACATTGGTGGTTTCAGGTCAGTTTTTAATTAAAGAAACAGTTATCTAAGAGTTAGAATCATGATAGGCTACCGCATTATACACTGTAACAGTTAATGTGTCCAGTTCTGATTTTAAAAACTTAACAAAGGACTGCTGATGCGTTATTATTCTTATTAATAACATTATCATCATTATTACAAGTATTACTATCATTTGGGCGGACTCTTTTGCAGCGAGCGGCCGATGATAAATGTAGGAAGTACAATGGACAGTATAATGATACATACAGGTTTTACCAAAGGGATATGCTGGGTTGCAAATCTGAGTTTCTTGTCATCGTGCTTTTAAAACTACACATAAGAATACAAACAAACGCTACAGAAACATTCTTTGCGAATGTAGTTATAACATTTCATCTCTTTAACAAAGAATAATTTTCAACCCACAGTTGTGAGTGTTTGCCATCCAACCCTGCCTGCAGTGGACTGACGCCGTGGCAGTATGCTCTGATCTTCCTCTCCGTGGCCGCTCTGGGAGTTATTGGATTCATTTTGTACCGTTTCCAACTAAGGTGAAGAATTATAAGAAGACAACAAGATGATCTATATTGCGCGAAGACAATAAACTAGACATAGACAATCCATACCTATGTTATGGCCTGAATTAACTGAAATAATTAAAGATCTTTCAACGGTGACTAAGGTCATCGTTTATCATTAACAATCAGTAATGAAAGATGGTGGATTATATCTGAAACGTTTAAGACTTCAGAGAATTATTTCAGTTGCTTGATTTGTTTTATATTGTGAAATTACTTGGATATCTAAACTTCTTTGGTTTTTAAAGTTCATACCTTCGCCAGGTATGTATTCAGGCTAGTTACACAAGCAAAAGTTTCTTCCTGCCACCATTTTGATAGTTATCCACCTTACTGGCTTCAATGCAGATGATGGCAGTAGAGCCGCTGCTAAAAAATTGTTACCTATAAAACTTCTGTATAAGGTTTTTTTTTCCACCCCTATAAACCCTAATGGTAGTAAAGATAAAGGAAATTCAAGTCGCGAATGTTCAATTATATTTTGGCTTAAACTGACTTAATAGATTTCTGTAAAGATATTGTATTGTTATTGATTGAGGTCATTACACATTCATTTCGCATTTGTAGCCGTGACATGAAGTTGATTTATTTCTTATCAGAATGGTGATTGATTTTATAGAATTTGGAGGAACAAGTGGATGCTCCGTCGTAACGCACGTGTTGCACCTGAGGCTTGTACTGAGTCCTCATCCCAGGAGATGGCAACACTGAGTGGCGACAGAGTAAGGACAACAGAATCAGCTGTAATGACTGGGACTGTGGGAAGTAGTGAATTTGAAGAGGTTGATGGTAAGGAACATTATAAATGCACATTGACTCTGATCTCAAGCATATGTCATGTATCAAAAAGACATGGTCATGGTATGAGATCCGATAGCAACAATGGCGCAATTGTACAATTGTGATGAGTGTACAGTCTTTTTCTTTCACCACGGTTAACAGCTCTGAAAGTTTGACCTGTAAAATAATAAGATTTAACGTCGCTGTGCAGTTAACACGGTTTTTATGGGTGTAGTGGTTCCATGTGGTATTATAGAATGAAGTATTTATAGAATGAAGAGGTTTGATCTACTGCGTTTCTAACTCATTATTTATTTTTCCTTATTGAATTGGATTATTGTCTTTGTTGCCGGGTAGTAGAGGTAACGTATTTTCCTCACTGCTTCCTTTACGTATCATTTCCAGTAATCCTCCCCGGAGCTACATGCCCCTCCCCTTGCCCTTCTCAGCGTGTGGACTGTGACTCTGTGGTTATCACATCGGGGAGGAACAGCCGTGACGACAATCATGACAACATGCTGCAGACCGACCCCGAGGATGCCCCAGTACCAGCTGGTATTGTGGGACCTTGTGATGATGAAGAAGGTATGGATGGTAAGGAACAGGTTTCTTATTGCAGGCATTACATGTTTCTTATTGCATTCAAAATACATTACTTAATTCTTGTGATTTTCGTAGATTTAACCCTACCTAGACCGGGGGGGGGGGGGCTAAAAGTGCCCGCGGCAACTTTGATGTCACCTAGCGTCTGAACGGCTAGCCGTAGAACGGCCAAACTTGGTGACTTTTCCTAGAATATTGTTGGCAACAATTTTCTATCATTGGAATAAGATAATGATATTTTGTGTTGCCATGGCAACGGGTTTCTGACAGGCATTTTTTGCTAAATTTAGTACTTCTTGTTTCAACAATAGAATTTTATGGGTTTTATGTGAAGTTACTCATGGTTTCTAATATCAATAACATCCCATATAATTTTATGTAAATTTTATCATTAAATATGCATAATTTATGCTAATTTGACGGACCATATCATTAGAACAGGTATATACAGGTTATTTTCATTAAAATTTCATCAATACTTCCATTTCTTTTTCCAAAAAAGGTTTAAATGAAGGTCTTTAGTATATTTACAATGTATTTTAGGCTTTATCATGAAAAAAAACTATTTTTGAAAATTCAAGATTGATGATCCAAGATGGCGGATATCTTAAATATGCATGACGTCATTTTATGACGTCACCGGTGTTCCTATGGGCAACATAAGACTTAGTACACCATAATATTCTGTCATAAACACTTTTGGTACAGTTATGTTGAATACCATTTAGTTTTCAGGGAAAAACCTATTTAGACGGTTTTTGCCAATAAAATCACATTAATGACGTCATAATGACGTCATATTACGTCATAACGACATAAACATTGTAGATATGATAAATTTTCACTAGTACACCATCCTCTGAAAATTTGGTGGTCATACGACATACCGTTCGCGAGTTCGTTAGGGGGGGGTCAAAAGAGCCCCCCCCGGTCCCCCCATGTCAAAAAAAGCCCGGTCTAGGTAGGGTTAATATGAATTTTGAGGTATCCATGGGTACTGAGTTTAGCCTAGTGAAACAATCCGACCTCCAGCAAACGCCGGAGGTTTCAATTAGCTCGCAACTCGGAAAGATTGATTGCCAGAGCTAAAGTCTGTGTGCTGTACAAACTGGTGCCAAAACTACTCCGGCCTGATCTCAGTTTAACAGCCTTCGTTATGAAGGAAAACTATTTTCTTTGAATGCGTGGAATTGGTACGTATTGGGAAAATTTATCTGTTTAAGGTTTGTCGCTTTTTTTATAAATGGAAGAGAATTGCTCCTTTCCTTACTGCTTGTTTTTAATGTACGATCTATGTAACTGGAACATTACTTAACATTTTCAGAAACGCTGCCAGGAGCTACATGTGCCTCACCTCCCATGTTAGCCTAAGGAAGATTGTAGCCGAGTGACTGCCAGCCTGAATACCACTTCTCTAAATATTCTAGTCTCCATGCAGGAGAACTAAGAGACTCATGATCGTCATTCTACACTGATCTACATTTACATATTTACACTACTGGGCAACGTCCTGACTTTGGCACTCTGTCCAGGGTGCACGACTAAAGACCTTGTTATGTTTTCTGTAGTTTTTTGTCAAGTTGAATACTTCATTAGTAATGGTCAATTATGACCCTTTCGTATTGCATATTTTTATCAATACTCCAGATGATATTAGAATTAGAAATCATTTAACTCCGCACTGAAGCATAAAAGGAAAAGTTTTCAAGTAAAGTACACATTAATTATCATATAAATCTTGTCATAATAGTCTATACAGTATTATTTGTACCCGGAGAAAAAAAAATAACTGGGAGTTCATTACTCATATGTTTGCTAGATTGACTCACATGTAGTGTTTAGAAAGATCATTTGCTCTCATTGTGTTGTAGTAGGAAGTATCACGACGGATAGAAAAACAAGTTAGTCAGTAGAAGTAGACATAGACACCTTTTTAATGAGATATGCTATATACTTAAGATACTATATAACACAGTAGTTTTAGGTAATGTATAGCATGGTATTGTACTTAGAATACAAAAGGTAGACCTTTCTCCATACAATATTCTCTGTACATCTTGACTTGCGCAAATGCGGTTTGCTTGAATATGCATAAATATCTGTCTTAATATTGGAGTAAAAGGCTAAATATTAGTATGCCTTTATTGTTTTGTTAGTTTTGCTTCAAATGTAAGTCACTATTAATCAACATGTTATTGCATTGCTCTTTCCCTATACTCATATGCATAATCTTAAGACTATATGACATCATGGTAAGAACCATTTTGTATGGCCATCAAGGCTGTGTATGTTAGTAGAAGTTCACTACCGTATCGTTTTATTAGTCTGTTAATGTGATTGTTATCAAAACTTTCAAAATGTAACGCGGGAAGTTGAACATTCTTGTCAGGTATTGCTACAAACACGTATAACTTTATAGAATAAACCAGCTTTTAAATTTCGATCACTTTCGTCCAGTTGTCTATTTGAAATATGATCATGTGATACTTTCATTATTATCAGTCTCTACTTTAAGTCCGGTGAGTCTATTTGAATGGTTAAATGTTAGGAACAGTTCAGTCAAGAAGTTAATCCTTGCTACAAGTTGCCATTATAATATACCTGTAACCAAGAACTTCAAACTGACAGCTAACGTATCCAAGAAATAACCCTTCTCATATTGTTTATCAAAACACAAATGTATTGAAAATATGCAACAATAATACTTTTTTTACAAAATACATACATCTTTTTTTACAATTTCCTTTAACAAAAAATGTGCAGACTTTACACCATTTTACAGTCTACCTTTACACAAGAAATTCAAGCGTCGCACCATTTTTTAACATTACGTTTACATACAGGCATTTTTGTCAAGTTCAGTTATTTCTGAGTTTTTTGGCTCTTGTCTGCAATGTGCCTTACATGTCACTTCTGGTTATTCAGTCGAAACTTATATAATAGAATCTAGATTTATATTGCACAAAATGTTACTGGGATTCGGTCAAGAACAAAGCATTACCATTTTTTCTCTCATACGTCTCAAAACAGTCATGGTTGATTCATTTAATTCATTAAATAGATAAATAAATCGATGAATAAATTTGAATACATAAACCTCCGCTACTGAGTCGTTGCCAAAATCACAACTCAAAATCCTATCTTTGAGCACGTCTCAAAGAAGCCATAAAGGTACATACAAAAGAAGACGCTTAAGCACTGTTTAGGGTGTCCTAAAATAATAGATTTTGAGTGGTGAATGTCAGTCCATTTCGTGTTAAAAGTTCAGTTTAGCCTTTGCGGGCGTCGCTCTCCTTATAAAGCTTAGGCAGGAGCTGGTTTTGGATGTTTGGTAGAACGCCTCTTCCCGACATCAGCTGGTTCAACTCAACGTCGTATTTGAACGCAAGCTGGATATGGAAGGGAACGATCCTGAGACAACATAATGAATAAAGTTAGACTAAAAAAGTAAAAACACACCAAAGGTCAACAGTTGCGACCATCTTCACGCTCAAAGGGGTGTTTTGGGGCTACCAGAAGACACCATTTTCCCGCCCGAAAACACATATACAATAAAACCAAAAGAACGTGCATCATCTACAGACCAATACCAAAACATATAGCGAGTCCCAAAAGAATCCGTCCACCCCAACGCGAGAAACAGCTGCAAACATGAAAATCTAAATCTCTTACAAAGCCCTTCTCCGGAGGCAAAAATAGATGACCTGCAAATTATCCAGTAGCTTAGCACCTGTTATTAGGGCCATAAACAACCCGGCATGCAGGCCTGCGCGCAACCAAGCCCGCGGGCTCTTCTGGCCGATTTGTACGCATAATATGACATCCAGGCAACTCCATCCAGGCCGCCGTGAGCATGTCGGTACCAGCTCATTACCAGTTCATTACTCGGAAGCAAACACTATAGTAATATTGATATCAGCACTCACTTGTAGCGTACGACTTGCCTTATTAATCGAAACCTCAAAGCTAGCAAAAACAACCTGGATTTTGCTAGATAAGCAAGAAAATGGGAGACAAAAATACTGACGACCCACTCCAACTCGGTGCACGTCGGCACGTTTGGATAGTCGACGAGCGTATCATGTATTTCTACCGTTTATTCTGCAATTTGCCAACACCATGGGGAATATAATTGTGTTTGGCAAACCGTGGACAAGGAAGTCGGGCCGTTACGTGTTCAAGTTTTGAGAAGCCAGTCTAGTCACACTTGACAGCCAAAGCAATAAACGCCTTTCTCCGGTAATTTGCACTCTCTGCAGAATGTGGGACTATTCATTATCCACTGCTTTGAAAGAAAAAGTCGAACCCCATAATAGCTAGCGTAGTAGTAGAAGAAGAAGTTTTTTTCCAGACGGATTGTTACCTGTCTCCTGTTACTGTATTGCAATGAGTATCATACTTGATTGTAAAAGGTAATTAGCCTTCAGGCATTCTTTTTTGCAAATAAAGTTTAATTAATAAATTAAAATTCTTGGTAAGTCGCACCTATTTTAAACCCAGACGTCAAAGACGAAAGCGACTTCTTACAGACTCTTGTCAGGCAAACTCCTCTGACGAATTAAATTCCCCTTTAAGCCTTTTTAAAAATTCATTCAGCCTGCAAAGGAGTCTGGTGGAGACTACACGTATGCTATTCTGCATCGTTTCGAAAATGTCACGTTACCTGTTCCTCTCGCTGTCTGTAGCCGCGGCACCGGCCAGGTCCAGGACTTCGGCGGCCACATACTCCAGCACGGCCGCCAGGTACACGGCAGCGACTGGGAACACGAGACCCGCCTTAGCTGACTTGGTCCGCGGGCTACCGACGGCTTTAGCGCCCGCTGCTTTCCCCTTACCGCGTCCACACATTGTCGTGCTTGAAGACTTCACCAACAGGACTCAGTAGAAGAGACGAATCGACCTTCTATACGGCTCTGACGGGGACTCAATAATGGCCTGTACAGCGCTCAGTTTCACTCAGGTGTATTAGACTAGTGCAGGTACAGGTGTTTATAGGCTTCTTTATGCCCACCTGTTAGCTACCTTCTGATTGGTTGTTGAGCCTAATTGTTTTACATTAATTTTTTCATCATCTGATTCATTTACGATCAGTATTTTTTTGTAATTCGATATGTTACATATGTTTTCGTGAGTAATAATATCAATCAACTGGGCTTTGTAAAATACACGTTATGGCTCATGAATACTTGAAAACAGTTAAATTGCAGAAATGTGTAATCGTCAATCTCAGTTGCGTTTTAAGATTGTACTTGTATATGTAAGTTTCTCAATTCCTGCAAGGGGGCGTTATTTTCGGTTACCTGCAAGGTAGGGGTGGTGATGGCATACCAATGACAATTGGCTACCCCTGTAGGGGGTAATGAAGAGTCGCCCTCGCCCATACATTGGATCTACCGAGCTCTGCCATTTCTTGTTTATGTCTTTTGCTGAAACTCCATGAGAATAACTCAAGTTCTGGTTGACGGATATTATTCTTAGTGATCTATGTATGATTAACATGATTAGATAAAGATCATGCAAATCAGCATGAAAATAGGATAATTAATGATGCAATCATTTTATTCCGCTGCATTGTGTAATACTATTTAAAATCATGACATCGCCAAATATTGTTCAGGTACATGGAGAATTAAAATAACTAATTAAAGAGGTCGTGCCATGTTTAATAGTCGTAACTGCTGTAAAATTAGAATTTTCTACGAGTATATATAGAAGTTCAGTGAAGGTAAACGTTATTATGTATATATTATTCAAATCAGGACGTCATTTGCTAACTTTTTCAGACAATGCTGGTATAGCCTTCTTGGTTTAGACACAGCTGTCATTGGGAAGAGAATTGGACCAGCTAAAAAAATTCATTTAAATGATAAACTTATTTACATAAATGACAAAAAAAAATTACAGCGTAATTCATGGGTAGTGAAGGTTTAAATTATCTGCTAAAGTCATGAGGTCGTGAAACTCTTTATTACTTTATTACTTTTATTACCTCCATGAAATGTGTCATGGAGGTTATATTTTCAGTTGCGTTAATCTGTCCGTCCGTCCGTCTGTCCGTCTGTCCGTCCGTCTGTTGGTCAACAAAATAACTCAAGAACGCCTGGATGGATTGGTTTCATACTTGGTGTGTTGGTAGGGTGTGACAAAAATGATTAGATTTTGGTCCCCTAGTGGCTTCCCTTGGTACTGCAGCGCAACTTCCGGTTTTGATATCTCGCGATCTGGACATGCTAGGGTCATGAAATTTTGATGGAAGGTAGCTCTCGTGCTTGGGAAGAAGTCATATGAGTTTAAGCCCCCTAGCGGGTTGTTCTGGAACTGCAGGGCACTTTCTGGCGAAATGTTGAAAAGCCAATAAGTCCAGACAGGAACAACATATTTTCATTATTTTTGGTGTGTAGGTAGCTGAGAGAGAGATGTACATAATTAAATGCAAATTATGCAAATGAGGACTTAATTTGCATAATTAATGAGGAAATTCTATAATTACAGTGTTTTACATCATACTACTTACATACATGTAATGTATGTAACCTATGGCAGGCGGAACTTCAACAGATACTAATTATGCAAATGATAACCTAATTTGCATAATTAATGTGAAAAGTCCAGACAGGAACAACATATTTTCATTATTTTTGGTGTGTAGGTAGCTGAGAGAGAGATGTACATAATTAAATGCAAATTATGCAAATGAGGACTTAATTTGCATAATTAATGAGGAAATTCTATAATTACAATGTTTTACATTATACTACTTACATACATGTAATGCATGTAACCTATGGCAGGTGGAACTTCAACAGATACTAATTATGCAAATGATGACCTAATTTGCATAATTAATGCAAAAATTCTATGATTTCGTAATGGTGAATGATGAGAATTTCATACTTGGGACATCTGTAAGTTAATAAAAAGTTAACATACATCACGATGCATATATCATGTTAATGCAGAGGTTATTTGCACAATTAAAGAAGAAATTTACATTTACATATCAAGATCATATTTCATGGAGGTATGAGGTCTCGGAATTCTAGTTATTTTATTGCTTCACATTTCATTACAAAGTAATAGACACATGCACAATTAAAATGTAAGAGTGCATATCATCTGGTTATGACAATTGCATCATCTGTTAAAGTAAGTTATAGAACTTTTTTTCTGTTCACTACTAGTAAAATACAGCTAGATGAGGGCGTGTCAATGTTTTTACCACACCAGAGCTGACCGCTACTGTAATCTTGAATTAATGCAAAATTGTGAATACTATATCCCTTGTGCTAGATAAACGTACAACAAAGTCTATGGAGTTGTTATACATTTGAATGGTGCCTTTATATAAGCAGAGCATCAGTGAACTCATGCCAAAGGTCAAGTACAAATATTAACACTCAATCCATATCGGATCTTTAACCGTCAAACACCCGGGCTTTTTTGTGCGACGGAAATGACCGAACGGGTTCCAAATGGACTCCATTTGGTTTCTTTCAAATTTATATTCAGCTTTGCATTCTTTAAGTGCACATATATTGGTTAAACATAATAAGAGGTATATTTTGGCATGATTAAGTGACCTCATATGATTGTCGAAAGCCTGAAAACGTGATGACCTAATTCCTGAGGTTGAGGCTACTTGGCAAACTGCACAATATTAAAGCAATGATGCACATCCTAAAAATTTCGTGTGTAGGAAAAAGCAAAAACATGGCTTGAAGAAGAGATTTATTGACAAATTCACGAGAGGAATTTTTTTCGAATGAAAAAAAATTCAAATAGCACATTAAAATATACGCCTGGGGTCCAAATGGACCCCGTTCGGGTGTTTGGGGGTTAAAGACATTGTCCACTACAAGTGTGAAGACTGACTGAAGTAGACGACTCCTTGTAGATGTGAACTTGCAAATTACTACATGGCAGATGCGGTTTATCTGTACACGTGACGTGAATGGAACAAAGTATCTACCAAAATTTTCAAACAGCCATAAAATGAAATGTAATTTACTATTTACAAATTACCATTTACGTTAAAAAGACATGATCCATTTCACACCTTTTAGTGCTTTGGGCAGTAACAAACTACTTTTAAAGCCCTTGAGTTATGCAGTTGTACAATGGCACAACAGTGAAAGGTTGGTAAGCTAGTAGTTGTTCATGTTTAACTTCCATGCTATTTTGAATTCACATAATAAGCAAAAAAAAAACATTTCGGGCTATTCGAGACGTCTTTCGTACGGCCAGGTTTGATCAAAATACAAAGAAAGCACAAAAAAACCCACTAGGTAGAGTAGGTCTATTTTACAACTTATATTCCCGCCTAGGAATTTTGCATTCGCTGCAAGCTGTACAAGCTAAATCCACAAATAAGCATCATCATTATAATAGTCATTTAATGTTTGGAGCTACATTTTCCTTCGTGGAATATAACATTTGTATACACAGCTTACACTTTTCTTCCTGAACAATCCTTTTCATTCTTCTCAAATACAAATATATGTACATTAAACACTATCACTACATTTGAAAACATGTAAAAGAAAATAAACGGCATTTTATTATGTTCTTACTAAGTCCAAATAGCAGCTAAATACTTGCACTGTGGTTCATTGGATATGATATAAATTATTCTTATAAATAAATCTTGAATATTTTGTCTCAATGACGAAAAAACACCCTACAGAATAAGGCTATTGGCAAAAGATTGCAGTCCCTTGTAATACTAGTAACTGCCTTGCGCATGTATATGTACATAATGTTGGGCCGTGTGGCGTAGCGGTAGCGTGTTCGGCCCAGGCCCAAGAGGTTCCGTGTTCGAATGTGTCACCTATCTTGTGCCCTTGGGAAAGGCACTTAGCACGACTTTCCTCACTTTACCCAGGTGTCAATGAGTACCTAGCTTCGGCTCGGGACGTCCCTCGGATAGGACGTTAAATGGACGTCCCGTGTTTGTAAGAGACAAACCCCAGGCACGTTAAAGAACATACCACTCTCATCAAAAAGAGGAACATTACAGTCTGGTTTCAGGTTTGAAATCTTTAAGAGGTTCACCTATAATGTCAATCACTCCACAAATGTGGTATACCATCATAAATAAAAGATAAAGAATAATATATTTGTTTATATATTGTCAATTTGAGGGAACTTGCTTGCCCAGAAATAAAATTGAGAAACAAATCTGGATTTTCTAAAGTTTGATTAAATTATCGTAGGATGAAGCTGTAAAAATTATATCATCCCTAATGTTTTTTTCGAGTAATGATATCCAAAATTAACCCTGCCTATTGTTTTTTTAATTGTACACAGAATTAGGCTCTGACACAAATGGTCCTGTGGAATTATCTGAACTTCTACTATAGAGCAAAACGTTATTATCAGCGATGGCTAAAAAATAGCTGTTTCTTGTGATTTTGACCCAAAACTAAAACAAAATACCCATTTTAAACAAAATAGCCTCGAAAAGAAATAACCTGTATTGGGTTGACTTTCATCTTGTAAAGTATAACAAGGGAGGTGTTGTTACCACCTGCGCGTAAATTCATGAAATAAACGGATGTTTTTTTAGCCAAAATGTGTATTTTTAACCCAAAATCCAAGTGTAAAAAAACTGAAGTACCCTTTATTTAATGTGTTTTAAGTACAACTAAAACTGAAGTTTTGGCGCGGTTTATGGTGAGAATACAACCCCATACTAAGGACACAGTCAATTTAATCTTATGGATGGCATACTCCGCAGGCTTAAAATCAAATGCGATAGGGCAAAAAAACAAGGCGGGCCAAAAAAAAATCAAATGCGATAGGGCAAAAAAACAAGGCGGGCCAAAAAAAAGAATCCTACAATCTTAAAT